AGATCCAGCGAAGCAAGAAGAAGAACAAGCAGCAGCGCGGAAGCACGAGGTGGCGCAGCGAGCGCTTGACGTCATATCCGCAGCACGACGTCGCGGACGCTGTCGACGCGCGGGGCCGAAAGCGTCGCGCGACAGCGCCGAACGCGAGGCTGTCGTCACCCGAACTTGTGGCGGCCACCTTGTCGGACGCGAAGGCGTGCGAATTCGGCGCGGGCGTGTCGAGCTTTGAGACGGAGGTGGATGGCAAGGCTGCAGGTCGCACGAAACTATCATCGTAGCCTCGGCGGAGATGGCAGCACGAGTAGCTGTGGCAGCAAGTCGGCGGCTGACGGCCGACGACAAGGCGCTTGCTGAAGGCCAGAGACGATTGCTGTGATCACGTGAGTATGAATGTCGCAACGAGTTAATCTATGTGATTATCTGCCTACATGTATATCATATATATATATATATATATATATATATATATTATAATATACATATTTGTCATTATATATATTATATTCTCTTTTAGTTCTCACTCAATGACTCTTTCTATCTCTCTCTCTCGCTCGCTCTCTCGCTCTCTCTCCCTCTTTCTCTCTCTCACTCTCTCTCCTCTCTCTCCTCGACTCTTCCTCTCTCTCTCGCTCCTCTCTCTCTCTCCCTCCTCTCTCGCTCGCTCTCACGCTCTCTCTCTCGTCTCTCTCTCTCTCTCTCCTCTCTGCTTCTCTCTCTCTTTCTCTTTCGCTTTCTCTCACTTCTCTTTTCTCTCTCTCTCTCTCTCACCTCTCTCCCTCTCTCATCTCTCTCTCTCTCGTCCTCTTCTCTCTCTCTATAGGCAGATAATTACATAGATAACTCGAGCGACATTCATACTCACTGTGATCACAGCAATCGTCTCTGGCTTCAGCAGCGCCTCGTCAGCCGTCAGCCGCCGACTGTGCCCGCTACTCGTGCTGCCATCTCGCGAGCTCACCGAGCTAGTTTTCGTGCGCTGCAGCATTGCCATCACCTCCGTCTCAAAGCTCGACACGCCCCGCGCCGATTCGCACGCCTTCGCGTCGACAGGTGGCGCCACAAGTTCGGGTGACGACAGCCTCGCGTCGGCGCTGTCCGGCGACGCTTTCGGCCCCGCGTCGACAGCGTCCAGCGACGTCGTGCTGCCGGATATGACGTCAAGCGCTCGCTGCGCCACCTCGTGCTTCCGCTGCTGCTTGTTCTTCTTCTTGCTGTCGCTGGAACGCAGCCTGAACTCGGCGATGTTGGTGACGATCTTCAGCGGCCCGTACTTCGCGCCCTTCTTCGCACGTTCCGCCGGCTTCGGCGACGCACCGCGCGGCGGCGCCACCGTCGTTACCGCCGCGGCGACTCCTCCTGTGGCGACGGGCGGCGACGGAGTGTCGCACCTGTTCCCCGCGGCGCCGCCTGACGGCCGCGAGGGGGCGTCGCGGCGTTTCATGCTAGCGCTAAAGCGCTGCAGCTCCTCGACGCGCTGCGTCGACAGCTTGTGCTGCGCCACCTCGCGGCGGTGCTCGCGCGTGGCGATCTCGTCGTTGATTCGCGTCACTTCGTCGGTCATCTCGACCAGCCTCGTTTTCAATTCCTCGCTGCTGCCCATCGTGACGAGTCGGCCCTTCCCGCTGCCGCCGCTACCCCCGATCTTCTTACTGCTCTTTTTTAAGCTCTTCTGTAGGCTCTCCACCTGCGAGAGAGAAGGCGAGTGCAGGTGAGTGTGAGAGAAAGGAGGGAGAGAGAGAAGGTAAGTGCAGGTGAGTGTGAGAGAGAGGAAGGGGATAGAGAAGGCGATGGGATGTGAGTGTGAGAGAGACGAGGGAGTGAGAGAAGGTAAGTAGAGGTGAGTGTGAGAGAGAGGAGGGAGAGCGACGTGAGTGGAGGTGAGTGAGAAAGAGAGAGAGAGAGGAGGGCGAGAAGAAGAAGGAAGGATTGCACAGACAGCAGCCATATACAGAGACATACAATGGCTGCAGGAAAAGTACATACACACATACCCTGAGTACAGAAGCGACGCACACGAACCTTGACTACACTGGTAGAATAAACACATACCCTGAGTACAGTTGAGATTCGTCTCTGTCGTAGCTGTGTGATATCTCGCAGAATCTTGAGATCCTCCTCCGTTTGAGCTCTCTCGTACTTAATGTTGATATCTGCCTCTGTTACCTGCGCAAAATACACTTTCACATAAATACATGCAAGCACGCGCGCACGCACGCGCGCACACACGCATGCACGCACGCACACACGCACGCACGCACGCACTCACCCAAACACAGGCGCGCACACACACACGCGCGCACACACACGCGCGCGCACACACACGCACACACCCACACACACACGCGCGCTAAACACACACATACATACCATATACACACACACTCACGCGCATCTGCGCACACACGCACACGCACACTCACGCACACACATACACACGTAAACACACACACGCACGCACGCACGCACGAATGCACAACACACACACACACGCACACACACATACACACACACAAACGCGAGTGTGTGTGTGTATATTTGTTGTTTTTACTGTTTATGAATGGAGCGCGAAGAATGCAGATCCAACGCACGTTATAGTTCAGCAAATTTAAGTAAAGCAAAGCAAAGCAAAGCAAAGCAAAGCAAAGCATCTACTTACAATTAAGAGTAACAAATAAAATATTTCATATTTTGACGATCACATATGCTCCAAAAGAACATGCCATAAATAAGGTCATGTTTTGTTTACCTCAGCATTGGATATTAGACAAAGCATGCTTCTGATTATTTCGTGTTTGACCAAAATAAACATTTTAGGCACCCATGTTGTGTTACATAACGTCAAGAAAAAGGATACATCAAAAACACTATAAGTGGCCTGAGGTTTTTCCACACTTCTAAATGCAATCGGCAGGATATTGCATGTATAATGGTTTTGAGTATCACAGCAACGCAGACAAAGAGCATCGTTTAGCTCAGCATGTGTAGCCCCACCATTTTCACGCGTGACAGTCAGTTTAATTTCTGGTAATGGCGAGTGGATTCTCGACATTGCTCCAGCTTCGTGTCAGAATACACGACTGGAACACTATTGGCAAAGCGCACAGATAACTGACATGCAGATGGCAGTCCTATTTTTGCGCACTTGCGACATCTGACGCTGCCTGCATTTCTGCGCAGTTGCAAATCGAACTGGGTGTATTCTCAGGAATTGTATCTGCCACAGCTTTCATCAGACAGCTTAGAAGTTCGCATCCTGCTTCCGTAAAGGCCAAAGACAGTACGGATCTAGTTGTTCCTGCGGTTTATGAGGCGGCAACTCAAAGTCATCTATGTGATTAGATTGATAATATGCCCGTCGGATAGTGCTTGCTGTATTGCATGGCCTAGTTGGGGGAAAGCTTTGCCTCCCAGACGATATACCTCTTAACTCGTGAGGTCACATGTTTAGTCTCTAAGATCTACTCCATGTTCCTGAAATCTGTGTTCATTTTTGATGCAGCTTGTTACGCGAAGGTTAACTCCTCACGAGGACATGTCAATGTAATGGTCTCACTATACAGCTTGTTCCATAAACAACAAGCATGTCAAGACTACGGTAGGATACGATTGATGAAGGGGCATGCTTTGTTCCCCAGTACCTTGGCTTGTATAATAGTCGCGCAACCAGCTTAACGTATGCGAGAAGTGGTCAGCACACTAGGGCACAATCCTCTACCCGCACTCTTGATGCTAGCTGTGAATCTGGGTATGTAATCTTTGTCGAATCCCGCGAACCAGCTCTGAGACCAGATTTCACTAAGGCCCAATGGAGTGAATAACATTCCAGTACGTGCCATGAGAAGTATGAAGTCTAATCGCGTGTCACTTGAAGAAAACAACAAATTCCGTCTTGCTGCCCGTTTTTTTCGACTCGCATGCACTTGCATGGGGAGATTAGGCGAGCATTTCAGCTGATTCGTAAGTCTCCCTCGTTCAATACTTTACAAAAGTTTTGTAATTTCCGCTGAACAACCATCTCTGACCTGAATGTCAAACAAACAACCGTCTGAGTCGCCAGAAAAAGCCATACTGCTACAACTTGGAGGTTTCGAAAGGTTGCTCCATCCGCCTGCGCTTCCTGATGTGTGCTGCATACGAAGAACATCTGGCAGCTTCCAACTTATTTTTCGGCTTTGAAATGCCAAAAATCTGTCTCAATCTCCAGCAGGGCAGTGTGTGGTCGCAGTTGATCGACTAATTTATCTTCAATGGGTGCTTTTAAACTTACTGCGCCGCCTTTCTCGCTCAATCTTTGATGGATCCTCTCAAAACATGGAATCAACAGAACTCTAAGTATTGATCTGTCAGCCCCTCGACCAGATGCAGCGACGGCCGGTATCCAAGAAAATGTTTTCAGAGCAAAGTCCTCCGAATATCCGTAGGTCTTTTGTTTTTAGCTTTTCTATACATTTGGCATTGGTCGCTCGAATCAACATAAACATGCTGTTTGCATTTTAGAGTCCTTTGCCGGCCTCTCGTACCCACAATTCTTTGTAAGTATTTGGGTTCTAGTTCCTGTACGAGGCACTTTTCACAGTTTCGGTCATCATCGCCTTCTTGATCAATGACAAATAGGCACACAAGAGGGTACACAATCGATAATGCAGAAGATCCTTCCCGCCTTGTTCTGTCCACGGGCCCTCGCCTACTCTCAATACAATCTTTTCATTCATGGGATTCTTCATTTTTTTCCTGAGGATCTCCTTGACTTCTTTTGTGCGGGCCTTGGGAATGCTGAGAAACCGTCCTTCAGGTTGGTTTCTAATGGATGTTGAATGGAGAATCTCATTTCACTTGTCAAGTAATCGCCTCCTTTCTAAGGTGTGTCATACGCGTTTGGTTCTCGATTTCTTTGACCAAAGTAGCTGGCTTCTGAATCTTCAGACACTGTCTTCTGGGTCAACAATGTTATCGAAAGTTTCACTTGGTCAGTTCGAGTCAACTGGAAAGACTTCCATTCCGTTTTTGTTGTACAGTATGGTCTGTGAACTTTTGCTCCCCCGTTGCTTCATCTAGCTTTGCTGATAGCACTTTCACTCGGACAGGTTTTGGTCAGGTACAAAAAGTTGTCGCCAAACAATTTGATGCAGGCCCAGTCTATTTCATGTAAGGAATCAAGCTCCCACTTCTCTCGCTACGCTTCTTCTTCCGGATCGTTGCTAATCTATATCTAGAGGCACTCTTGTGGGATCTATTTATTGCGTTTTTTTTTATTGTTCCAGAGGCCAATAAATCATGCCCCAACTCGCAATTGAAAACCTCTCCAGGGTTCGCTTTTAAAACGCAAATTTCGCTGCTTAAATCTCTGACAAGATGATTATGGCGGTTCAGTACTTGCGCGCAATGTCCGCTCTAATACAGCATAACACCATTTCAGGTAGTTGGTGGAATGCAAAAGCTGCCATTAGCAGGAAGAAGGGCGCTGAATTGCCTTGGAGATGAAGATCCCAATCCACTCTACCACCAATAGTAAGGCATATGGGCCTTATCTGCTTGGCAGAATAAATGAATGATGAACAAAATATGCCTTCGATTTTTTACATATTTTGATCCCCTGATCGTTGTATTAACATTTAATGAAAACATGAAATGGGTTAAAGATGCAATATAGATTGCTTAGGAGTGGATCTAAATTTAAAGTGTTCATTGGTCAGTATTTGTCTACAAAATTAGAGAATTGCCATACTATAAGCCACATTTTTCATTCGACAATGTTCAGATTTTCCAAACCTTTGCACCAGAATTTGTGAATCTTTTGACCATCGCTGTATAACTGCATTTGCATATTATATCTTGGCATAATTAACATGCAGAGATTATAGAACGAACTTAAATAACAAACATTTTGAGGTTAAGTCTTTGTTGTTCTATGATTATAATATAGCGGAGTAGATCAAATGTTAGTTTTCCCTACTCCAATTACACTAGAGGAGCGGAAAATGGGCGTATCTTATGACACGTCCTTTTCATCGTTACTGCCCGATGCTAGCAAAAGTCTACTTTTTCTATACAAAGAATTCATCCCAGTGCAGACCGGCGGCAAAAACAACGCCAGATGGCAGCATCCAGTAGCATCATCCATCATCATCAGCAGAGCATCGTAATCATCATCATCAGAAGCAGCAAGCAGCAACAACATCAACAGCAGCAGCACAAAGCACAGCCAAACAACAGAAAGCAGACACATTCGTCGCTGTACTTCAGACTAGACTACCGATGGATGCTTTCATGAGTCACGAAGAAACAAATCTAGCTATCTACCTATTCACCCACCCACTCACACGCATCAACGCCAGCAAACCAAGCTGCACCGCTACGCCACTCAGATGACTCACCTATCCACTGCCCACTGGCCAACTACTCCATCCATAGCCCAACAGCCATCCACCTACCACCACCCACCTGATGCCATCCAACATACAACCAACCACGCTACACACCCACCCACTCACGAACATCCAACCAACAGACCACCCACCTACTCCCCCACCCACTCCCCATCCAACCCAACAACCACCACCTACCACACAACCCACTCACCCTCCAACCCGTCAACCAACCCACCTACCACCCACCCACTTCATTCATGTCCAACCACAACAATCACACCTTTCCACGCTACTCACTCACTCCAATACCAGCCCAACATACTGAATACAAAAACTCACGCTAACCCACCACCACTTAACCCATCCAACCCAAGAAGTGAATCCACCTATTCACACACCGCCACGATACATCCATCCAACGCCACCAAATCAACAACTCACCTACCGCACCCACTCCCACTCACGGCATCCAAATCTATAACAGACAACGATTCTGACAAAATACCAACCAACTACCACTCCCCACTCACCGCATCCAACCAACACCAACCCCACCTAACCCACCCCCCAACAGTGATCCATCCCAACCAGTTCAACCCAACGCACTTACCCCTACCCACATCACGTGACTCACCTACTCACCCAGGACCATCACACCATCCAAACCAACAACGCAACCCACACTTACCCACCCACCACTGTCACTTATCCAAAACCAACAACCGCAACGGCCCACCTACCACCACCGAAGCCACTCACTCATCCACCCAACAACCAACCGCACTCTACCACCCCGGCTGTTTGTTACTCCACTCACGACATATGCCAAAACAACAACAAACCCCCTACCACCTACTCACATTCACAGACCATCCAACCAACACCACTCACCTACGCCACCCCACCACTATGGCAATCACCGCCCACCAACCTTACCACCCACGTCACCAGGCGGCATTTTTACACGTAAGACCTTCCCTCCTTTCTCTTTTTCCGTTTACAAAAACATCTTTCTCTAACTCCATCCCCCTCCCCCCTCTCTTCTCTCTCCCTTCTCTTCTCTTCTTTCTCCTCTCTCTCCTCCTCTGCGCTCTCTCTCACGCACTCTTCAAAGAGAAATCAGTGCGATATGTGTTTTGCTGATTGTCAATCGCTCACACACACTCGCTATCCGACCGAATAACTGACACTACGACACTTGTGTGGCGGACAGCCTGTAAGAGTGAAACAACCGCGCCCTAGAGTTGGGGTATTGGCGTTCGAGAAAGATGCGTGAGAGAGGAAAGGGACAGAAATAACGAGGGAAAGAAAAGAGAGAAGGAGAGACAATAGGCTGGATAAAAAAGGCGATGACCGTTGAGCGATAACGAAAAGAGGTGGAGGGGGACAGGAGCAGGTGTGACCTGTGAGACGGAGCGAGAGGGAAGAAAAAGAGAGTAGGAGAAAGTCAGGAAGTGAGAGTGATAGATATAAAGACAGACAAAGCGAAGAGAGGGGAGTGTGTTTTTATGTGGAGTGGGTGCGCTTGCCGTGCCGGTATTATTTGGAAGAGAGAGAGAGAGAGAGATGAGAGAGAGAGAGAGAAAGAGGGAGAAAGAGAGAGGAGAGTGGAGAGAGAGAGAGAGAGAGAGAGAGAGAGAGAGAGGAGACGCAAGAACTTACCATCATCATACCCGACCCTCACCATGCCCACCCAACACATACCCTACGGCAGCGCCAAATGCTTTGCAAGCAAAGAGCAAGCGGCGCGCGTCACGTTGACGTCACGGCCAACGCCTGACGTCACCGCGACATTATATTTCGAGTTGCAGACTCTATTGAGACTAATGCTCAATGCGAGATCGCAAGATGCCGAGGTAAGAGACGTAAAGCTTCAGCCAGGGAATGTAGCTGCAGTTACAATCATCGTGTACTACGCATGCGCGCTACCTGGACCTACAATAAATGATGACCTGGATCTAAAATGACGTCATAAGCATGTCGTGACGTCATAAACTTGAAAACAATCATCATGGGCGATGCATGCTACCTGACCTAAGAAATGACGTCATGTACCTGATCTGATATCATAGCCCCGAAGTGACGTCAGATACGCTAATCGACAGTAAATAGTTCTAGTGACGTCGTACGGCGTTACATTACAGACAGTAGACTAATTAGTGTCACCTATTGTAGGTTAGGCGGAACTCATTACACCTGGAGGGAAATGGAGCGAAAGAGGACCAACCGAGCGACATAGATGGAGTTCACAAATGACCTATATCGCCCAGGAGACTGAAAGGTTACAGAGAGAGAGAGTCTGTAGGTTAGAGTCGTTTACCTGTGGTTTGTGCTGTTGCCTTGCCTCCAGCTCGGCTTTCTGTCGCAACACCTCCTGTAGCAGCTGGTCCCGCTTTAGAAGAAGCAGCTCTCTGCCCCATCTCTCGTGCTCCTCCTCCTCCTCCGCTGCTACCGCCGCCGCTACCGAGTCGTCGTCAAAGTGATCTGTAAACACAATAATGGGCGTCATAATACGTTATAGCTGCGATGGCACGTTATAGCGGGCGTAACATGTTATAGCTGCGATGG